TGGACGCCGGCAAAATTGGATATAATCTTTCACGTTATGGAAGCTGGCTCTTGTTTCAGTATCCATGTGATGGACAAGAAGTTTGCTCTGTGTTTCCCATTTATCTGCGATCCCCTCTACACATACAGGTTGGAAGATTACAGGGGATTTACAGGCACTCACAAACAAGAAACTCGATACTTGGACTTGATCCCGTATCTCAACAAGTTAACTAAGGAGACTCCACATCTCCTTATGAATACAAAAACTAGCACATACTCAACATAGAAGTCCATTTGGCAATGTTAACAGTGTGAACACCGCCGTTAAATTGCTTATTTTTCCAAATCCCTAAGGTAGTAAATACTCTGCTACAGCACCTTATTTGGTGTTGTCATGTCCACTTGGGAGTTAGTTGTAGATTTCAAACCAAGATCCTTTCTTTACTGCAATCTTATCCTGTTATCTGTTGTATCTATTGTTATTAATACTTTGTGTATTTTAGTGAACTCGGTCAAGGTGTCAAATGGATAATTATATCTTTTATCCCTTAGAATCAAAATCATAAAGCACTAGATTCAACCCAAACAAACAATACTGATAAACAAAGAAACAGAGGATAACTAAACCTACAATTTATACCTTTGCACATTATAGGACGCAACAAAAACAGCAACAGTTGCCCAAAATCCTGCCAGGCCCGATCCCCAAATCAGCCCAGGAACCATCTCCTTGACAGCATCATTAACAAAGTCCACAATCATTTCGGTCTTGGGCCTTGGTAATCTTCGGCTATAACAAGATTCATATATTCAAGGACAATGCTACATGTATATAATTTTTTTACCTAATCCTTTACCTACTCCTCACAATAGGAGGTGGGAACCACATTTGAAAATTTTTATATTCACATGGGACTCGCGTGCGCTGTGAGAGGGGAGGACAACTTTCAGTAAGTTGAATTCAGTACAAATAGAATTAATCTATATTCAAAAACACATGCTTGTTCTCAAAAATTAATATTCCTTAATTGTTCTTGTGAACCACCTTACTATTGAAAATTAGGCGGATCATTTTTATTGATTATGAGTTACACACACACTATCTTTAACATAATTAAACAATCATGTTACATGTACAGAATTTTTTGACAGAAAATCTTTACAAACAACACATGACATGTCATCATTGAAAGAAGAAAAAAAAAACTCCAGAATCTCGCTTTGCCACATCAACTTCAGTACAATTCCGTAATGTTTTTCGTGTACTCACGGCTTTATCCATAATTAAAAGATATATAGGAACAACCGTTAAATAAATACATATTGCTCTTTTCTAATTGGTTCAAATCTCACACATATCCATTTAAAAAATTAAAAAAAAAAAAAAAATAGACGTGCCAATGTCCACTCTAACAATATAAACTAACTTCCCTTGATGCATAGCCCATGCCTAGTTTAACAAACAATGATTAAGCATGTTAAAGCAAGTAGTTAAGAACTTGAAATATACTACCAAATTATGATGTGACTCATCATTATTTTCACAATCATTTTTCTTATTGATTAAACTATTTAACTTACGAATAATAAAAAAAAAACATGAGTCTCTTAAAGAAAAATTACTTGTAGAAACTCATTGAAACATTTTTCTAAATGGTAATTTGAATACAATAGTCTTGATCTCCTACATTCAGTACTTTTCATTACTAACGTGATAATATACATTGAACAAAAATGTTAAGACTTAGAATTTCATTTAAAAATATCAACTTTATTAAGAGGATTAGTACAAATCATTATAAATTGGTCTATATTTCAGTATTTAATCGATGTGGGATTTATCCATTACCATGCCGTCACAAGACGGTATCTCGTTTGAGCAGACCAATCTTGAAATACATGTGCTCATTTTTTGAATTTTAATAAGAATGTATTGCTCGTTTGAGCTTAATAAATTTTGATACCATGTGCATACTTGTGGTTCCATCTTCAAAGGTTAACTTTTTTAAGAAAAGTAATCCACCTTATAAAATTGATTAATATTTTAGTATCTAATTGACGAGAGATTTATCTCTTATCAAAATATATCCTAATCAAGAGTCTATTTGTTCGTTTTTATGTCCTTTCCAATTAAACTCGTGTAGCTCGGGCCTAATGTACAATCATTGTCCGTCCCATTTGGAAGGTTTCATTGTGTGACCTCTAATCAAAGTTATTAATCTTGATTTGATGGCATTATTGTCTTATTGATGATATAGAAAAATCTTCAGGTATTCATAGCTAGAAGAATTAGTATTTACATTTTCATGATCAGAACTTGGTTACAAACATGTTGATAGAATTGACGTTTAATGATCTATATTACAATGTTCGGTAGGTGCTTCTTTTTAATCAACCTGATCAAATATATTTTTTATCCATACATTTTGTAAGATTCATAAATATTACATACTTATTCATACTCATATTTGTCTATTTATAATTTAAATCGTTTATGATTACATGCAATGAGAAACTTCGTCGGCCAACCTTAATTACTATGAACTATCCCCTTCAAGTCACGTCTTTGTGTAGCAAGTCATTCACAAATTGATTGCTATGTATTATTATTGTAGTGGTACACATCCTTGAAAATTTCCTTTTTTTTTTTTTTAAGAAGTTAAAATCATATTTGATAAAATAACTAAATTCGATAACAAAATTTGTGATTGGCCGGTCCAATATATATTCAAAATGCCTCCTTCATTTTTTCGAAATTCAATTTTTTAAAACTCATTTTCAATCTCACATTCTTCCATAAAATAATATTAACGTAAATCAAAAACTTTTTCTTATTTTTTAAACATGGATTCTGAAAAAATCACTATTCCAAAACTTATTTTCATCTAAATTAATGGAGCCCAAACAAGGGCTTACTTTGACTAACATGGTCGAACCCCAAAATGTTAAAATTGACAAACTAATATCAAGAACAATAGGACAAAACAATAACGTATGCATTAATGCATGCAATAATTTTTTTGTGTTCAAACATTGATCATGCATAAATGCATGCAATAATTTTTAGGTTTCCAAACATTGATGATGCATTTTAATAAAATAATTATTGAATAACTTGTTCTAGCATATACAATACATTTGAATAGTAGCACTAGTAATGGTCCATTTGGTATAATTTTTATTTTCGTATTTATTTCTGGTAGAAGAGTTACAGTGGAAATTATATTGGGTGAAGGCTTTTTTTGCAAGGCTTTTGAAAAGTCAAAAGTTATTTTTAAAATTAAGAAATTGCTTTTGAAATATTGAATAATTTTATGAAAGTGTTTTGTCTTGCTAGAAGAAGTCGTCGATAATTTTTTGGAAAAGTTATTCTACAAGAAATAAAAAAATAAATCGTGTCAACTAGCCTTAGTATCATTTAAAAGCTCTTCCAGTTCTACAACGTACTTCCAAGAATTATCTAAACAAGTTCAAAAATAACTTCCTAATTCTAATTGTGTTTCAAAAGTATGGGAAGAGAAAAAAAATAAAAAATTATCTAGATTTCCTAATCAAGAGTCTATTTGTTAGTTTTTATGTCCTTGCCAACAAAACTTAAGCAATCATGCAATAAGCAATTGGGCATGGCTAGGGCCAAAGGTACAATCATTGTCCATCCCCTTTGGAAGGTTTCATTGTGTGACCTCTAATCCAAGGTGGCATTATATATATATATATATAATAATAATAATAATAATAATAATAATAATAATAATAATAATAATAATAATAATAATAATAATAATAATAATAACAATAATTTTGCAATCGTACTTTCAAAGCTGATTTTGTAATGGTCTATATTACAATGTTTGATAGGTGTTTCTTTTTAATCAATTTGGATCAAACTTAATTTTTATTTATACATTTCGTAAAATCTATAAATATTACATACTTATCTGCCACTCATCCCTACATATTTATAATTTTCTACCAAACATGCACCAAGCAAATTCATTAGCCACCCTTACTTTTTGAAAAAAAAAAATGTTATACTCATATTTGATAAAATAAATTAGTAGGGTGTTCTCAATTGAAATTTTAATGAATTTTAAAAATATTATAATTTAGGTGTCGTCATTTGAGATTTTCATTATTCTCAATAAGTGAATTTATAAGAATTTCACTAATAAAAGATTTCAAGAGATTGATTTCAAATTAAAGATATGCATAATAAGTTCTTTTAAAACTTCACCATTTTTAATGGATTCTTATGGATTACGTGAAATTATATTCAAATTCATGAAATTTATCATAATTTAAATTTGAAGTTTTAAGACGAATATTTGTGATTGGTCAGTCTGATATATATTTAAAAAATTGTTTGACTAATATGTCCAAATCGAAAAACGTTAACATTGTACCAAAAACAAAAGACAAACAATAACGTACGCATGCAAACATTGATAGTGCATTTCACTAAAATAATTATTGAATAACATGTCCTAGCAGATTAAAAAAAAAAAAAGAAAAATCTTTTGAATAGTAGCATGGGTCATTCGGTACAATTTTTGTTTAATGCACTCAATCTTATGTCGGGCTTGTTTTGCTTGACTTTTGAAAACTCAAAATCTATTTCTAAAATTAAGAAATTATTTTTGAATTATTTAAATAATTTTTTGAACGTGCTTTATTTGATTAAAAATAAATTTAGAAAAATTTGATCTAAAGCGACTTTTTTATAAAACTCTTCTACATAAAGGAAAAGCAGAAACTCATTATCTTTTAAAAACTCTTCTAACGCCACAAAGTACTTTCAAAAAGTTATATAAATTTCTTAATTTCATAAAAAACTTTCAATTAAGTCCTAATTGTGTTTCAACGTAGTTTTTTGTTTAACTATTTGTTCTAAAAAATAAAATTGAAACTCCCTTTTAATCATAATTCATAAGCGTTGGCACTGTACAACTTACATTCAATTCGAACGGTACACAACAAAAATAAAAGAAAATAAAAATACGTAAAGGAAAGTCATAAACACACACCTACCTACGCACCCCTTGTTCACCTGGATCTTGCCATTTCTCTCTCTAATCCTTTCTCTTTCTACCGTTATCTATTTTCACTTCTTCTGTATTTTTTATTTTTTATTTTTTCCAAAATTTCCCCTCTCGTTTCTTGGTTTTTTGTCGACTGTTTTCTGCTCATGGCTTTTAATTTGATCGATTAAATTCTGAAAAAAAAAAAAAAAAAACTTTGTAAAAAAATTTCTGGTGTGATGGGTATTTGTTTTTCGAAGAATGATAATAAGAGAGAGGCTGAAAATGTGTATGATAAGAAGATATATTTGAAGTCGAAGAAGAGTAGCTCAGGTGATTTTGCAGCATTTATTAGCAAGTTAAGTGGTGGTGGCGCGGCTGTCGCAGCCGCCGAGGAGCGGGCGCTGCACCAGATTCAGGGCAGACTTTTCTCCAATGGCGCAAACGGCATCGCCTGCTTATACACTCAGCAGGGGAAGAAAGGAACTAATCAAGACGCCATGATCATTTGGGAGGTCAGTTTGTTCGAAAATAGATTAGCTATCTATATACACATTTTTTGTATGTATTTTGTGATTAACGTTTCATGGTAGCGTTGAAAGAATAATATGAAAGCAGTGGCAATTCCTAAGATAGCATCCTGAAAGTCCATTCGGGTCAGTTTATAACTTGCCTTTGAATGTTTTCATTATAGAACTTTTGTACGAGAAGCAATACAAATGCAATATTTTGCGGTGTGTTTGATGGTCATGGTCCTTTTGGTCATATGGTTGCAAGGAAAGTTCGGGATACTCTTCCTCTCTTGCTGCGTGAAGAGTGGGAAGCCAAATCCGGTAGCAAACAAATTTCTGCCGGCGAGAAGGGGAACCATACAGGAATGATTCGTTTTGATGAGTTCATGGATGATGGTGGATTTGATTCAATTGAAGTTGACGACAATGAGAAACTCCCTGAGATGCATATGCCGCTTAAGAGGTCAATATTGAAGGCTTTCAAGTTAATGGATAAGGAACTGAAGTTGCATTCTACCATTGATTGTTTCTGTAGCGGTACAACTGCAGTTACTTTGATAATGCAGGTATGCTTTGTGTAAAAATTTTGATGTTCCCTTTGATTTCCTTGTACGGTTTCTTGTTTGTTCTACAACATCCAACAACGGAAAATGTGGCGAAATGTGTCATTTTATCTTTTTACCTTTTTAACAAAATCGGTAACCAGAGTTGTAAACAAATTGCTCGCTAGATTGAATGAAATTATTGTGCATGAAAGCATCAAATACTTGTTTTTAGGGCTGTCATATATTTTTGGCTTTTTAAGAGTCATTTCACAGATTGTATCACCATCCTTTGTGTCATCTGAGAATCATATGCTTCTATGACCTGAAACACCTGGAGTCTACAGTTGCATACTTGTGTGGTAGGAGTTTTAACCTCTGACTTACCAAACTACCTAGAATAGTGAGATCTACATGTATATTATCATTTTTTTTAATTACTTTTAAGCTGGTCACAAGCCTGGGTAAAGGAGAAGGGTTACGGTCTAGAGAATAGAAATAGCAATATAAGACCAGCAACCAATCTCCTAATTTCCTCCTCCTTATCCTAGTCTCTTCTGGCCCCCTTACATCACTCTAGCAATAGTGTTTACATATGTTGTGATTTCTGAAATATTTCATGATAAATGAGAATTGCCCACGACACGACACAGTTATCTATTGATGCTGTACGTTTATTAGTTGGTTTTTTAGGCTACAGAGGACTTAAAACATTCTTATATGGTCTTACTAAATTAGGAACATGATTTTCCAGGATCAGGATCTCATAATCGGAAACATTGGTGACTCGAGAGCAGTATTAGCAACAAGAAATAAAGACAATTCTTTGATGGCTGTGCAGTTGACTGTAGATTTGAAACCCAATCTTCCAAGTATTATTCTCTAACTTTTCTTCTCTTACTTTCATGCATACAGAGCCAGTACAGATATAAAGGATTGAGCTGTAGAAACTTGATTTTTAAGATAAGTAACATTCTGGCTTCCTGGCATGAAAAATAATAAGTAAACGGAAAGGAGAGTTCCACTTCTGTAATCACAGCAAAAAAAAAAAAAATACTCCTCTTTTCCTTTTGCAGGAGAAGCTGCAAGGATCCAGAAATGTAAGGGAAGAGTTTTCGCATTGCAAGATGAGCCAGAAGTTGCACGTGTATGGTTGCCCAATAGCAATTCACCTGGTTTGGCGATGGCCCGAGCGTTTGGTGACTTTTGTTTGAAAGATTTTGGTTTAATTTCTATCCCAGATGTTTATTACCACCACATCACTAAGGGAGACGAGTTTGTTGTTCTCGCCACTGATGGGGTATTGCTCTCACAGTTTTGTTATTAATTGATAAAAAGTTGCAATGGATAAATTTTTACCTGTGGTTTAACCCAAAACATGCTTTTCTCTATAGCTGTGTTAGGTGTATTGGAGTTGGACACGTTTGAAGGATTGCCTTAATTTGTGTATATGGTCTTTTACCCTTGGGATTTTAATGATGCCACGTGTTATTCCATATAGGTTAGGGAACAGGGAAAGTAAACAAATAAATTTACCCTCAGAAATCCTCTCTTCTATTATAGTAGAATACCCCCTGGTCTCTGGGTCACTTCTGCTTTTTAGGTCATGATGTCTTTATTGTAAGATGATTCAAGTCTGTATAGCTTCACTCTAAGCATGCTGTCTAACTTTTATTTTGACACAGGTATGGGATGTCCTCTCCAATAAGGAAGCCGTGGACATTGTGGCCTCGGCTCCTGGTCCAACAGCCGCCAGGGCTCTTGTCGACTGCGCAACTAGAGCATGGAGGCTCAAGTACCCGACATCAAAGAACGATGACTGTGCCGTTGTATGTCTCTTCCTGCAACAAGTATCCGGAGCTAATGTGTCTAAAGCACAGAATAATATCACTACAGACCTCGAAGTGGAAGCGAAGGTGCCTAAAGAAGGGGGCATTGAAGGCTCAAATATTGATGTAGCTTCTCGTACTGATCTTCCTATACGTTTAGATAACATTAAAGAGTCCAGTACTAATGTGGCTAAAGCAGAAAATAATATCACTACTAACTCGGAAGAGGAAATGAAGGTCCCTAAAGAAGGCGACACCGAGGGCTCAAATATTGACATTGTAGCTTCTCATGCTGATCTTGTTGTGCATTCAAGTATTGTTAAAGAATCGAGCGACATAGAGTCTGTAATCGAGCCAGTGGAGGAGAAGCTACCAGGAAGGATTCATGAGCAGTCAAAGAGGAGCCTAGCCGAGTGCCTTTCAATTGCAGAGGATGATGAATGGTCAGCCCTCGAAGGTGTGACCCGTGTTAATAGTCTACTTAGTCTTCCGAGGTTCTTATCTTTCGAGAAAGGATCGGTGAGTTGGAGAAAGTGGTTATGATGATGTCGACTAAAGTACAATGTGTGATTTTTGCTGTAAGATAAAGCCATTTTTCTCAGGATTGCTTCCTAAACGAATCTGACGGCAGTCAAATTTAGAACACACTGATTGTGGCTGGAAAAGTTTATGCATGTACCGTTCGAATATGTTTGTTACACTCCTAATAGGGAAATAGAAAGTATACATTTTTGTTTTATCTGTAATATTTTTCTTCCTCTTGGGATTCCGACTCTTGACGAATGTATATTGTGCTCTATCAATTGCTTGAAATCTTGGCTTGGTCATCTCAGAGGATTTCTTTAAAGTAATTGCTGGGTCATTTGATGTATCAAACTTAATGACATGATTATTGATTGGTATGCCCGATTTTATTGTACTGTGCTGAAAAGACCGAAGACGACCAAAAGTTGTAGATGGTATCACAGGATGTTATGTTAAACTGCTGGGTCGACCCAACTATATTTATGACCGGTTGAGCCAGCCCATCTTGCAGTATTGGCGATCATGGGCCCATCCAGTTCTTAATTTTAGGGCGATGAATATGAACCAGCTCACCCATTTGAACCCCTCTACAGGCATTGATATTACCCTCTCTTCTTGCCAGGATAAAGTAAGAAAAAATATTTTTTTTTTAAAACCTTTTGATTAATACAAAGACAATTTTGGAGATTTTCTAATACTAGTGCACGCCTGACTAAATAGTTGTTGGAATATAGCTTCAGATTCGACACGTTCAATTGTTGTGCTGCACTTAGAAATAGGCCAAATGTGTAGTATGATAGATCAAGATCTCCAAAAAAAATAGCAATGACATTATACAATAAGCTCAATTAGCTTCATCCTCTTCTAAACAAGATTATCAAATGCCAAGTTCATTTTACTCATGATCAGTGCATTTCAAGGATAATATGCATTACACTTTTTCCTATTTTGGTTTTCTCCTCAATGTACAACAGGATTGTGATTGTCCCACACGACACAAAAAACACACGCATCATCTTGAGATGTCCACTACGAGCTCAATAATTTTACAGTCAAACAATGATTCGTATTAGTTGAAC